GATGAACACAGTGCTTTGAGGCGAGTGCTGCTGTCAGTCACCGTGCTGTGTGGATAATGTCATACAGAATCACAGATTCACTTTTTGAAAGTTTGACCAACATAAGAATTTTCATAAGAAAATGTCTTCTGAACAAGTAAGTAAAATCCATTTTTGTTCTGACCAACTAAGGGGGAAAAAGCATTCGACATGATAAGCTTCGTTAGATTTAATCAACGTGATTTACAGCAACCGTGCAAATTATAGCCTACTTTGTTCTCAAATTGTTCATGTTAACAACATCAGCATTGCGTGACTAATGTTAAATTTAATGTGTTTCATGGTTACCTGTGTAGTTCAGAATTCATATTCTCCATAATAGCAAAACGAGAAAGGCACAACAAAGGAAACTCCATAACTGTGTGAATTAAGAAAACGTACTGTTACACGATTGAACTATTGAAATGTCTTACTTGTTCAGCAGAAAAAAGCCGTCTCTTCTTCCGTTTTGAACCCCTTCAAAACACGAAGTTCACGCACTTTTCAAAAGCCCCGCCGATGTTTAAATCCTTGTGTTCGCATGAGACGGTTTCTTTCTCTTTCTCTAGCCACCTTAAATCCGAAGTACGAAGTCTTTTGGGTTTTATAACTGCTGAATCTCCAGTTGACAATGACTACGTTTACATGCAGCCAATTTTCGGGTTATGGTCGGGTTAAGGTCACTATTCGGGTTTCTGAAACATTAGGAATAACCCGTTTACATGCGTGAGCAGAGAGAGTTTCTCCTGTATACATGGAATTGCAATATCCCGATGTAAACGGCGACGCACGGTTAGCGTCAAGACGTACGGACAACCTTAAGACGCACTATGCGTCATTTCCGATTCTTCTTCCTGTATCCAAAGACAACAACAATAGCAGCAGCACGCGGATAATGAATAGTTCGGGGCAGATAACGATCGCCTTTGTTTGCGCTTTGGTGCTGGTACTGACCTCGCTCCAAAATGCTGTGCTGCGTCTCGCCATGTTTACTTCCGGTATACTGGTTTTTGTATGCGCTGAGAAGTTCCTCTACTCAAAAGACCAAGATTCCTTGCGAATAGAACATGCGCAGAACACAAATCACTATGGGGATATGCCGATGCGCGTTTACATGACCAAAAATTCGGGTTAGAAAAGGGGTACCCCAGGTATCATATCCCGGTTTTTAAAATCCGGGATATGAGCATATTCGGGTTTTTGCCGGTGTTTACATGGCCTTGCGCGACCGGGTTATTGCTAATATCCCGGTTTTGAACGGGTTATTGGCTGCATGTAAACGTAGTCACTGATGATTGTTGTTTGGATCTTGGATGCCATAAGTTTATTTATGTAAAGTGCTGCGAGAAAAGCCTATACATCTAAACATCTCGTCACGCGCAGTTTAGCCGGCTAGCCGAAACTCCTTCTTTATGTGTACGGGTGTGACGTCATGACGCAAAGACATGCTCGAATTTCCCGCGGAAACCCACCAGTACCACTGGAATTAAAATCATTATTACAAGCTAACCGTTTTGAATCTAGCTATGGCAAGCAGATAGTTTTGACCACTGGCAGAATAAGTTTTTTTTTAATATAATTATTTTGGATTACTTTTAACTTAAAAAAGTTACGGACTGGAGCTTTAACAAATTATCTAACATTAACAAAGATGAATAAATACTGTATCAAATGTATTGCTCATTGTTAGTTCATGATAGTTAATACATTAACTAATGTTAACTAATGAACCTTATTGTAAAGTGTTAACGTTTTTTTTTATCTTTATTAATAAAATCTAAGTTGGAATTACTTGAGATTACACTGCAAAATTCTGTACTTGGAAGACCTCTCTTTACTGTACCTATTACTGCCTGGTCTAATGATTTAGCTGATTTTGCTACAGTTGGTATACTGTAAATGAGCTCATATGGGAACATTACAAGCTTAACGTGAGTTACTCTAAGACTTGGTTGATCTTGTTCCTAGATCAACATCCTTGTCACATTGTGTGCATCTTCAGTGAAAGTATAATATTTGCACTAGCAGCCTTAATACATACATTGCTATTTAAATGGGATGGCGAAGCTTGTGTATTAAAGGTGTAGATTCACTACTGTGTTCAATAATGTATATTCTTAAATTCCTCTAAGAATATAACCTGTTTATTTGCACTTGCTGTTATTTTAGCACCTGAATCAAAAATAAATATATATAAATAACTACAAATACAAATTACAGTGTAATAGTATAATATATATATATACACTCACCTAAAGGATTATTAGGAACACCTGTTCAATTTCTCATTAATGCAATTATCTAATCAACCAATCACATGGCAGTTGCTTCAATGCATTTAGGGGTGTGGTCCTGGTCAAGACAATCTCCTGAACTCCAAACTGAATGTCAGAATGGGAAAGAAAGGTGATTTAAGCAATTTTGAGCGTGGCATGGTTGTTGGTGCCAGACGGGCCGGTCTGAGTATTTCACAATCTGCTCAGTTACTGGGATTTTCACGCACAACCATTTCTAGGTTTACAAAGAATGGCGTGAAAAGGGAAAAACATCCAGTATGCGGCAGTCCTGTGGGCGAAAATGCCTCGTTGATGCTAGAGGTCAGAGGAGAGTGGGCCGACTGATTCAAGCTGATAGAAGAGCAACTTTGACTGAAATAACCACTCGTTACAACCGAGGTATGCAGCAAAGCATTTGTGAAGCCACAACACGCACAACCTTGAGGCGGATGGGCTACAACAGCAGAAGACCCCACCGGGTACCACTCATCTCCACTACAAATAGGAAAAAGAGGCTACAATTTGCAAGAGCTCACCAAAATTGGACAGTTGAAGACTGGAAAAATGTTGCCTGGTCTGATGAGTCTCGATTTCTGTTGAGACATTCAGATGTTAGAGTCAGAATTTGGCGTAAACAGAATGAGAACATGGATCCATCATGCCTTGTTACCACTGTGCAGGCTGGTGGTGGTGGTGTAATGGTGTGGGGGATGTTTTCTTGGCACACTATAGGCCCCTTAGTGCCAATTGGGCATCGTTTAAATGCCACGGCCTACCTGCATTGTTTCTGACCATGTCCATCCCTTTATGGCCACCATGTACCCATCCTCTGATGGCTACTTCCAGCAGGATAATGCACCATGTCACAAAGCTCGAATCATTTCAAATTGGAACATGACAATGAGTTCACTATACTAAAATGGTCCCCACAGTCACCAGATCTCAACCCAATAGAGCATCTTTGGGATGTGGTGGAACGGGAGCTTCGTGCCCTGGATGTGCATCCCACAATCTCCATCAACTGCAAGATGCTATCCTATCAATATGGGCCAACATTTCTAAAGAATGCTTTCAGCACCTTGTTGAATCCATGCCACGTAGAATTAAGGCAGTTCTGAAGGCGAAAGGGGGTCAAACACAGTATTAGTATGGTGTTCCTAATAATCATTTAGGTAAGTGTATGTATATATATATATATATATATATATATATAAAACAAATAAAACTATAAATAAATCAATAAATATCCGTGCTGAGCAAAATATCCAATGTACATTCCCATATTACTGATATTAACATTTTGGCTGATGCTAATAAGCTAATATTTATAGTTAATATTTTATGTTATATGGCTGATATCTAGTAAATGGCGTTTATTATAATTATATACTATTTTGTCTAAATAAATGAAAAATAAATCAGTTTCAGGGTCTGATTATGAAAGTGAATTTAGGAAAACACTTCAGCACTGGCCACAAACTGACTTGAGCTATAATGACACTATTGTCTTCTGTAGTGTTGCTTTATAGTTTAATTACATGTTTCAAAATTGAGGCCTATTTGCAACATTGATACTGTTGTTAAACTGAATTGAATCATCACTGAGCTAAATTGAGCTGCCTTCTGTAGAGATGCTTTACAACTGAATTGAATTCATTTCATAGTACCTGATAAACTTTGCAACATCGACACTGTTATTGAGCTAAATTGAATCTACATTGAACTAAATTGAGCTGAATAATTACACTATCGCCTTCTGTAGAGTTGCTTTATAGCTGAATTTAATTCGTTTCATAATTGACAAACTTTGCAACACTGAATTCAATCAACATTACAGTAAATTGAGCTAAATAATTGAGCTAAATAATGACAGATCTGTATTATCATAATTGATGAATTTTTGCAACAACACTGTTATTTTCCTGTTTTTTTACTGTGAAGCTGCTTTAAGACAATCTGTATTGTATAAAGCTCTATAACTAAATGTGACTCGACTATAAAGTGAGCGCAAATGATTGAAAATGTAAAAACAGGCAGAATGCAAATGCAATCAAATATCCAATAACACCCCATATTGTAAATATTGTACCAATAGATATTGTGCATCCCTATTATTTAAAGAGAACCTGGTATGCCCTTTTACAAACTCTTGAGTTTGATTTTGGTGTCTACTAGAATATGTTTACCATTTCTTTTCTCACATTCTCATATTTGCCATTGTTGCAGCACCTCTCTTCCCAGTCTGTCTGTAATTATCTGTTTAGTTCCTCTATGAAGCCCCTCCTTCTGAAAAGCGTAGTATGCTCTGATTGGTCGGCTGAACAGTGTGTTATGATTGGTCAACCACTTTAAGCGTGTTTCAGAAATGTTACGCCCCCTACCATAACTCCAAGTTTCAACACACTTCTAACACAACTCAACCAGGCCTCGTCCAATATTTTTGCATATGCCTTGGGCGGGAATTATTTAAATGAGGAATATTGTGAAGTGTATGATTCCTGGAAGAAAACTCGAGACTACAATGGAGTTCTGAAACAGTGCTTACTGATATAGAGAACAACGCCCTCCACATTAAAGTTAAAAATGTAAAGCATAATAGGTCCTCTTTAAAAGCTTCGCTGAAGTTATAAAAAAAAAAAAAAAACTGATTGATTGCTGACAACCCTAAAAAATTAAAAAATGAATTATGTTTACTCTTTTTTCTAGGATACGGTCATGCGGCTCCCAGCACGGATGGTGGGAAGGTGTTCTGCATGTTCTACGCTCTCCTGGGGATCCCCCTTACCCTGGTGATGTTCCAAAGTCTGGGTGAACGCATCAACACCTTCGTCAAGTACCTGCTGCACCGTCTCAAAAAGTGTCTTGGCCTTCGGCACACCGAGGTCTCCATGGCCAACATGGTGTGCATCGGCTTAATATCCTGCATGAGCACGCTGTGCGTGGGAGCGGCGGCCTTCTCCCGCTACGAGGACTGGAGCTTCTTTCATGCGTACTATTACTGCTTCATAACACTCACCACCATTGGTTTTGGGGACTACGTGGCCCTGCAGAAGGATAATGCGTTACAAACCAACCCCCAGTACGTAGCGTTTAGCTTCATGTACATCCTCACGGGCCTCACGGTCATCGGCGCCTTCCTGAACCTGGTGGTTCTGCGTTTCATGACTATGAATGCCGAGGACGAACGCCGCGACGCCGAACAGCGTACGTTGCTGTCCCGCAGCAGAAAGACCGGCGGTGGCGGGACCATGTCTGATCCACCGTCCTCGTCTGGTGCGGCCCATGGGTCCGGGAAAGGCTTGTGTAACGTCTACGCCGAAGTGCTGCATTTCCAGTCCATGTGCTCTTGTCTCTGGTACAAGAGCCAGGAGAAGATGCGCTACTCAATTCCCATGATTATCTCTCACGATCTGTCCACTTCGGACACATACATGGAGCACAGCGAGATCTCCGACCCCCTCCACTCCAACGGCTGCGTGTGCAGTGCCTTGCAGGAGCACTCCGGCACCAGTTCAGTGTACACGGGCCTGCTCAGCCCGGCACATTACCAAAGACTCTCCAAACGCCGCAGCTCCATCTAGAGGGCTGGAGGATGTTTTGCATGTGAATCTCTTTCGCCTTACGAAACCAACCACTGTTATACTTGGGGTTGAAAAACCACTGCTTCTAAGCTGCTCGGATCCTCTGTCAGTCGAATAAATGTAATGTAGTGATAGACGGGGGAGGGCGGCCTGTCAGCAGGTGCTGCTTGAGGACCGGAGACATAGAAGCAATATGGGAAGCAATACAGGGTAAATGCCTGTATTTTTTTGAAGTACTTTGAGGTTTTCGAGAAAAGGCAAGATGCAAACTGCTAGCTCTTCAGTGAGCTCAATGGTAAATGGAAACAAATGCTGGTCTTTTAATAACCAACAAGTCCCAAAGTGTCAGGATCTTCTGGTTTTCATTTGAATAGATACATCTTGTGATTCAACCATTTCAACAGTGAATACTTTATTATCTTTACTGGAGTTATGAAATAGTAATTAAAAAAATAAAATAAAAATCAATCATCTTAAATGAGAACTTAGCTAATAATGAGTGCAGACCTTAGTCAGGGTGGCGCAATATTTACTTTCTTACAGGAATAGGATTCTGCAGTGACGATGTATTTTTGTTGGCCAACCCAGAAGTTACCATCGCACTGGTTCCCTCAACAAAAACCCAGTAGGATTGTTCCATTGGCTTTTGGATTATTTCAGAAAATAAGCTCTGTGACCAACAAAAGTTTATGACTCTTAAACGTTTGGTTTAATCGAGAAAATCTTAAAGGAATAGTTCACCCAAAAATTCAATGATCCCATAATTTACTCACCCTCAAGCCATCCTAGGTGTATATGAGTTTTTTTTCTTTCAGACAAATAAATATCCTGGCTCTTCCAAGCTTTATAATGGGAGTGAATAGAGTTTTTGAAGCCCAAAAAAGCGCATCCATCCATCATAAAAGTAATCCATACGGCTCCAGGGGGTTAATAAAGGCCTTCTGAAGCGAAGCCATGTAAAAGAATAAATCTATTTATAAACTATAATATCACTTCCGGTAATGGCCATACGCGAGTCTAGTTCCGGCGGAAGAGTGACCTCTGACCCGACACATGACGTATTGACGAAAGCAGAAGCGCAGAGGATAGATCAAAACAAGCATTGGTCACGAATTAGAAGTCTAAAATGAGAAAATTTACAGAGAAATGTTGGAGGAGCTTGACTTTGTTGCCCAGCTCTGTTTGTTTGAACCGCAAGAGGCGTCTACTCTCACCTAAGCTTACGCTACTCCTACATCCTACGTCATGCGTCGGGTCAGAGGTCACTCATCCGCCGGAACTAGACTTGCGTACGGCCGTTACTGGAAGCAAGTGATCATAGCTTGTGTTCACCACAAACCTCATTACATGCAAAAACCCATTCAAAATATAGCTGCAAGCAGCAATAAAGGGGGTCAAGCTAGCACATGCGTAAAAAGGTATTATGTTTAATTTAGCAAGCCTGTAACCACCTAGATCATAGATCGAGAAGACCATTTACAGCCAATACAGGCAATTTAATAAGGAAATATAAGTTTTAAAACCTTTTAACAGTTATCAAGGTTGAGCCAAAAACCTAGGACTAGTTCGCGAATGTAGGTTTTTGAAATAATCTCTGATATTTAACGAACGGTTCGATTGACAGCGGTGGTCCCAGAGGCAAAGTTGCTCAGAATTAGGAGTTCTATCATATGGTATGAATGCCGTGGGTATATCGTGTGATACACATTCCTTTACGCACGTGAAAAACGCAAATTTGAACCCTAAAAACCCATTGGATTCAGGACGATGTGCAAAAATGTGAATCCATTTCCGGGTTTAAGCGTGCAAAAATAAGTCATCCCTGCAGCACTCTATAAAAACAAGGCTGTGAGGGAGAGGCGTATAGTGAGTTCAATGGATTGTACTGTTGATTAACAACATACAATTGTTCGCTGACGAAATGTCTTTCGGAAAAAAGCAAAACAACAAGAAAAACTTTTAGTTGACAAAAACTCCACAAAACAGTTTTTAGCTGAGATTACATGACCGTTATACAGCGCATGCCATTGTAAAGACTGTAAATCTATCCCTCACAGCCTTGTTTTCCGCATAAATTCAATATGGCGTCTATTCGCTTTTGTTTTCTTCCACACTCAAACTCAAATTCAGAGTGAATTGTACTGTTCATCTATCCATGTGTTTTCCGTTTTTACATCTGCTATTATTTTAATGTATCACCAGGTTTGTTTGTCTGAATAATTATTTGTTTGCATTATTGTAGCTATTGTAACATCCATTTTTTATTATTATACTGGATTATATAATTACATAGGAATATATTGTACTTGCAGTTGCACTTTAGATGAAATCTATTAGTTCAGGGTTGTAGCCAGGAGTGCACAGATTATCTCTTTACTTGTAATCCGAATGGACTTTTTCTTAAAACACATTCCTGTTCCTATTGTGCACAATTCATCACGTTGTTCCAAAGAAGAAGAAGAAGAAAAATGCTTGTTTTTGTTGTAATGTTTGATTAAAATGTAATAACTTGGTCTGCTTCTGAAACTATTTTTAAAAACCGAGCCCAAAAAAACGAAACCAAGCCGTGTTCCCAACAGCCGAACAGGCATTTAGGCCTCGTTTTGGACTACTGTTGTTGCTAATCTTTCAATTTGCTTATTAAAATAAGCATAATAAAGGGTTAGGTCAATAATAATAAACACAAGTTTGACCTTGACCTTTAGCCTCAGGCATTCTAGAGCGTTCTGCTATCGAATAACCGCTTGTACAATCAAACATAATATAATATGCTTTTAACTTGGAAATACATCATATTAAGAAAGTAATGGGTTGCACAATAGTATATTTTTAATATATTTTTGTTAGTTCGCCATTTGTAACCTTGTATACTTACATCAGGTCTAAAAGTGTTGATATCTGAAAAATTGACTGAAATTGATATTTTTAGCATATTTAGATACGCAAAACCGTATATTAGAGGGACTCCCAAATGGACTCCCATTAAACTGCACTTTTAAAATCCAAAATACTAAGTATAACATCACTCATATATTTTTTTTTTTAGATATTTAATTGTGTAAATGGACACATCAGTGGCTTGTACTATACTAACATTACACATTAGCAATTTTAGAGGAAATAATCAAAAGGTCGGCACTTTCCCTTTAACGACCTTGAACTATCATCTCGGTTTTCTAATCCAAACTCATATCCGGTTCAGGATGTGATTAAGATTTAGATTTGGAAATACAAAGTGGAATAAAATGTGCATATCACGTGGGCCTGTCATTTCTTAATCTAACTTACTTAGAAATGTCAAGTGTGCTTCTTGTTGCTACTTTTAGCACATAGGAAATATAATCAAAGCAATATGTCAGGAGAACACGTATAAATGTTTACTGTATTAACGTTTAGTCTCACATAGTTACGTGCATACTATAATATCCATACGGCATCTTTTGGTGCTTGTCACGTTTATAAGAACGAGTTTGACATTGTTTGCTGGGTGCCTTAGATCACTATTAATGTTTGTTCCATAATGTACAATTTGCACATTGCATGATAGAATTGAGTGTAATACCATTGATCCTGTATGTTCTTTCTTACTTTGTAAATCAAAGAGCATCCCTGCTAACGTTACTCTACCTCAGAGGGTTGAGTCAGTGTGGGTTTTTCCCGTCTCCTTCATCTCCCTTCCCCTTTTTCCTGCAAAAAAAAAAAAAGCTGCCGCTTCTAAGCAAAGTTGTCAGTTCCGATCATCTTCATCCAAGTCTGTCTCTTTATTTGGGAATGAAGCTGCATAATATGTCCACCTAGGGGCAAAGAAAGTATTTGGAAAGTGCACAAATAAAGCTGGGTAGCGTGTGTGTGTGTGTGTGTCGAGACATAGACACGTCAAAATTTCAGTTAAATAATCATTCATCCACTTTATCCTTTTGCTGTGTTTCTGCAGTTGAAGGAAGGGAGACGAAATTTAGATTTTAGAATACAGAAGTTCATGTTTATGAATTTTGCTTCATTGTAAAGAGTTGCAAGAATCTGATTATCGGCCTTCTATTCTCAAACGTTTCTTGCTGAAGTGATTGTGTTCAAACGTTCATTTGAAATGGCCCTGTTAAATGCTATTCTTAAGGGATGTATTTTTAAATGACCATAATTATTGTATTTTGCGATCATAATAAATTGATGTCCCAGCCGTTTGTTCAATAAATACATGATGTTAACTATGTATTAAGATCTTCCTTTTGTTGATAAGCCAAAAACAAGTTTCTCTGATAATAAGTCAATTTCTGCAATTTTGACAATCAGTGGTTTAAGGATACGTTTACATGACAAAAGATGCACTAAAAACAGAGGCGTTTTTCCTTCGTGTTTTTTACGTACAGACGACAACGTTGTCAAACCGATCCCCGTTCACACTGATCCAACTAAAAATGCTGCATTCTGCTGCCAGGCCAGTAGTTGGCGATGTCACTTTGTAAAGAAACACTATGCAATACGCATGCCGTCACCGTTTTCACAAACTCACGTTTTTGTAGTTGACATGGAGACGATAACGGTATCGGTTTCAAAAACGTGCACTTCGCAAAAATGTGTGTAAATGAACATCCAAGACGCATACGTTTTCTGTGTTTAGTTGGTAATGGTGTTGTGTAAACAGCCCTTAAGTTTTTATCAAACCTGACGTCAGTACATTTACTTTTCACAGAATCCGCTCAGTTGCTGGACTCTTAAATCAACAACATTCAGCAAGAATCAAGCAGATGAAAAAACAGCACTAGCTTCAGACACTGCAGAGACGTCACTGGAGACTCTTTATTTTGATTGAACTGCTTTCTATTCTGGGCTGATTTACACTACAGCAATGCTACATTGTGCTACGTGTGCTTGTACAACTTGCCCCCATGTTCTCCTAATTTATATACCACTGGCAAAAATGATCATTGTTTTCATACATGAATGCCACCAAGTCTTAATTATTAAGTAACAGCAGTGTCTCTGGGCACATGAACAGGTTGGTTGGCCAGTTTTATTATATCTCGCAATCAGGACATCATAACTCGCAATTACGAGCTTATATCTCACAATTCTGTAAAACAGAATTTTGAGTCCTAAACTTGCCATTTTGATTGTATTTATCACAATTGTGAGTTTACACTCACCTCAAGGATTATTAGGAACACCATCCTAATACTGTGTTTGACCCCCTTTCGCCTTCAGAACTGCCTTAATTCTACGTGGCATTGATTCAACAAGGTGCTGAAAGCATTCTTGAGAAATGTTGGCCCATATTGATAGGATAGCATCTTGCAGTTGATGGAGATTTGTGGGATGCACATCCAGGGCACGAAGCTCCCGTTCCACCACATCCCAAAGATGCTCTATTGGGTTGAGATCTGGTGACTGTGAGGGCCATTTTAGTACAGTGAAC